TATTTATATAAAATTTAAATATAATTTATATATTTAAATATATTCTTTATTCGGATATATAATTTATTATAAATTTCAATTATATATAACAAATATTTAATCTATAAAATATATCGACAAAAATACTAGTGATATATGAAATGCAAATTTAAAATATATAATTTTATTTTTTTAATTATATATTTTAATTTATAATATTCAAAGAAAATAAAACATATACTATATGTGTAAATTTAGTGACTTTAATTACTACGTACCTTACGAATTATATTAAGTATACTTTTTAGTTTATTAAAAACAATTGTTTTCAACGTGTGTAACAATCTAACAGGTTATTATACTTGTTATAATTTAGCTACTACACAGTAGAAAGATTAAACAACATACATCTGATATAGAATTATAATGCAACAAGTAACTAAAATTATGCACATGGTCTATATGTAGGAAATAAAAATAATTATAATAGTTCTTGTACATATGTGTTATATATAAAATATACAACAATGTGCAAGATAAACCTAGGCGTCAACAACTTACTATTCAAAAGTTAACTTACTTATTGAAGATTTTTCAACAAATGGGCTCGTAGAGTACCACATCTCATATCCGCATAATGGGATATTTAATTTTGAAATCAACACTTAATTTCTTATAATTTTTACATGTATTTATAAGGCATGTATCTCAACCACATGTATTGGAAAAAACACAAGTCCCACATCGACTAGAGATTAGGCAATTGAATAGTATATAAGTGGAAAACAACCCTCACCTTATAAGCTGGTTTTGTAGGGTTGAGTTAGGCTTAATCCACTATTCTAACATGGTATCGGAGCCATTTAGATCCACTTTAAAAATGGGCCACCCACCATTGATGCATGCCTCATAGGCATGAGGCGGTGTACTGGAAAAAACACAAGTCCCGCCTATCCTAGATCATTAAAAAAGGGTCACCCACCATTTATCCACGTACCAAGCCCAATAGTGCTGGACGTGAGGGGGTGTATTGGGAAAAACCCAAGTCCCACATCGACTAGAGATTAGGCAATTGAATAGTATATAAAATAGCTTAAAACAACAACTTTCATCATGCAACTTGCACCCGACGCCACTCATAAGGTGTTCAACGCCATTGAGGCAAAGGACTCCTTGTCTTGTCAATGCTTAGCACCAAACTACATGTGCCTGACAAGGTTGAGGCAGAGAGTCTCTACTCTCTTGTGCCTGATGTGGCAAAACCCATGTCCGACCTTAATCAGGCAGAAGCCCTATGCCTTATTCACGGTCGTTGCCACTCTACTAGTGCTCGACATAGACCCAAGCAGAGATAGGTCTCTTTCCTCATATCTGGCGTCATTCAAAATACGTCTAACATGATTTCAACCTAAGATGATTCTCTCTCCTCATGCCTAGTGTCACCAACCTTGTGCCTAGCGTGAATGAGATAAAACCCCTTGGTTGAAACCACGCCTAGCATCCTGAAGGCACACCTGGCGCGATATCAGTTATGCACTTGTACATAAACTAAATTATTTTCCTAAATCACCTGAAACTCAATAGCTTGACAACATGCAATATGAAATACAACACATTTGCATCATATAAAGTCCAAAAGTAATGCTGAAAACAACAGGCAACTAAGAATTAAGAAAAATCTCCAACTACTCTCATAAGCAACTCTTAGAACATCTTTAATTCACACAACTCATCACACATGGATTTCTACAACATTAACTATGAATTTAGTGATTCTAATCAACACAAGTCATCCTAAAACAAGATTATCCAAACATCAAGCTTCACTTACCTTTTGAGAACTGAAACCTAGGAGAACAAGAAGGGAAGAATGAAATAGCACAACATCAACTTATGAACCTCAACTATACAAGTTTGGAATCTGCAACACAATAGCTCGGATCAACTACAAGAAGTAGAAAAGGAGGAGTTTTCAAAAGAATAAGGGAAGGAGGAGATTTTAGGTTCTCAGATAACTTCTCACTGGTTTCACTGTCTATAGACCAACTGATTTTTGAGATCCCCTTAACCCAGAGTTCTCAACAATGACTAACATCTAAACAATAAAATTTCATATGATTAATACAGCAAATCATCAAATTAGCAGAATTACAACATGTCCTAATTATATAACTAGTATTTTAGTTTGTGCAATGCATAAACATATTTATTGTATATAATTAAAATTTATAATAAATTATATATATAAAATATTATGTTTGAATATATAAATTATATTAAAAATTAATATACATAAATATTTTTAAACATATAAATTATATGTTAGATTTATGATAAATAATTTGTATCATAAAAAAATTACTTTTATTTATTGATAATTTAATTTAAAATATAAATATTTGATTTATAAATATTATTATAAATAAAATTTTAATTAAGTAAGAAATTAAAAAAAATACAAATCTTTCTATTAAATAAAATTCTTTAAAATACTCTCTATAACATAAAAATTTGTATTTAATATATAGGATTGGAAAATATAAGAATCTTTCTATTTGAAAATATCAA